CTTAGGGGTTCCAAACTGCTAGTTCCTTCCTTAACCTTAAAAACCCATTTACAATCAACAATTGATTTGTTCTTAGGCCTAGGTACTAGCTCCCAAGTATGATTCTTTTCCAGAGAACTCATCTCTTCTTTCATTGCCTTAAGCCATTCATTAGATTGATCACTGCCTATTGCTTCTTCAAAAGACTTTGGCTCTTTTTCAGCTAGTTCCTCATAACTAGACTGGGCAAAAGCTAATTCAGATTCAAAATCAAACCTTCTAGGTTCCCTCGACTGTATCTTCTCTCTATCTCTAACTAAGTTATAGTTAGCTAAGGGGTTCTCTTCCTCATAGTGTTCTTCTGTCACTATTTCGTTACTATTTTCAGCTTCGGGTTCCTGAGTTTGAGTCTCCACCTCATTTGAGACAGTAGGGGCAGGTGGATTGAGTTTTCCTAACTCCACCTTAAATTGGTCTCTCTCTTCACCCGATTCTACTTCACTTTCGGGTTCAGTTTTCCCTTTAATACACGGCATTTCTTTTTCGTTAAACGTGACATCTCTACTTATGATGATCTTAACTCCGTTTTGGCTTCTATCCCATAATCCATAACCCTTAACACCTTCGGGGTATCCTAAGAAAACACACTTCCTAGCTTTAGGTTCCAGCTTACCCTCACTTTGATGAGAAAAAGTTGTACAGCCAAACGTTCTAAGTATCGAGTAATCACTCAGTTTACCAGACCATCTCTCATGTGGAGTATCACCATTCAATGCAGCAGAGGGTGTAAGATTAATCAAATAGCAAGCTGTCATAACAGCCTCACCCCAAAATGACTTGGGAACACCCGAACTGATCATCATGTAACGTACTTTATCAAGTATGGTTCTATTCATCCTTTCTGCTACCCCATTTTGCTGAGGGGTGTAGGGAACAGTCTTATGTCTAGTTATGCCGCTTTCTTTACACATACTATCAAATTCTTTATTGCAGAATTCTAGGCCATTATCAGTCCTTAAAAATTTGATTTTCTTGCCAGTCTGGTTCTCCACTTGTCTCTTCCAAATATTAAAACTATTGAAGGTATCAGATTTATCCTTCAAAAGATAGACCCACACTTTCCTAGTGTAGTCATCAATAATAGACAGGAAATACCTATTACCACCAGATGTGGGGTTACTGGCAGGGCCCCAAAGGTCAGAGTGCACATATTCGAGCATGCCTTTAGCTCTATTAACACTCGTGGAGAAAGAAGTTATGTGATGCTTACCAAGCACACAATGATCACAAAATGGCAAATCTAACACACAGTCATTACCAAAAGCACCCTTTTCATTAAGTAGCTTAAGTCCCTTGACTCCTACGTGAGCAAGCCTATTGTGCCATGTGTGTGTGTGAGCAATCTTGACAGAGGAGATAGAGGAATTCATATCTCTAATCACTTCCCCAGTAATAATGTATATATCGTTTTTCTTAATTCCCTTAATGGAAACTAAAGCACCCTTGATCATTTTTAGCATACCATTTCCAATTTTACCAGTAAAGTCATCCTTCTCAAGTCTCCCTACTGAAATCAAATTCCTAGACAATTCAGGAATATATCTAACATCCTTTAACGTATACACAAAACCCGTGTCAAATTTTACGTTTATGTCACCAATTCCAGCGATAGTATAGGCAAAGTTATCACACAGCACAACATGCCCAACTTTAGATTCATGCAACTTACAAAACCAGCTCTTTTCCGACGTCACATGAAAAGATGCACCAGAATCAAGTATCCACTCATGAATGCGGGAATTAGCAGTTAGATTTAATTCAGCAGTGTATGCAGCTGGACTTGTAATCATATAGACCTCACCACCACTTATATCAGAAGTGGATGCTAACACATTTACCTCATCTCTCTCCTTAGCTTTTAGCTTACCCTTCTCCTTATGACAATCCTTTATAAAATGCCCTGTGTTTCCACAACCATAGCATTTTCTTGCCTTAGTTCTAGATTTTGATCTGGACCTACCTTTTTCCTTCTTTTTCCATCCATTACCACTTGACTCGCCACTAGTTTGATATCCCTCATGACTATTTTGCCTAAATTGAGTTCTACCTCGCATCATATGTACTTCACCATTCCTTTTATCATGTTTTTCAGCCTAAATTTTCATTTCTTTACTTCTAAGGGAATCTATGACAATTTCAGGTGTTAACGTGTCTCTGCCATACTTAATGGCATTCTTAACTTCCTTATAGGAATCAGGGATTGCATTTAGCAAAATTATAGCCTTATAAGTTTCGGACACAGTCTCATCACAATTAACTATGTCTTGCACCAGTTTGTTAAACACGTCTAGATTGTCATCAAGATCCTTTGAAGAATCCATTTTGAAACTGAAAAAACGTTCAAGCAGGTAGAGCTTATTAGGTGTAGACTTAAGCAAATACAAGTCTTCTAATTTCTTCCAAAGTTCTTTGGTGTTTTTTAATTTACCCACCTTTCTTAAAACAGCGTCAGACAAGTGTAGGATAATTGAGGTATAAGCAAGCTCATCGGCTTCTTCTTTTTGTTCTTGTGAAAAATCAGTTGAAAAATTGCCTTCAATGGCTCTTGAAACCTTTTGTTGGACTAAAATACCCTTCATTTTTTGTTGCCAAATAGCAAAGTCACCCTTTCCGTTAAAAATTCCCAAATCAAAACTATGAGTTGTCATCTTCACACAATAGCCAAAAATGCACAAAATCACAATCAAACCATACAAAGTAGTCCTAGGGGTCACAATAATATACTCCGTTCTAGATTCCCAGGGTTTCGTAAGACTCGCGGTCTTAGATCAAGGGAATGTTCGAAAGGGTAAAGTCACGGTATTTCTAACGGAATAAGTAAGCAGCGGAAATAACAATGTAGCAAAAATACGTCTAGCAGATAACTAGTCCCACAATAATTTTGATCACCAAGAATTACAAAACTGATTTTAAACCCCAAAAAACCAAATACTCAATCAAAAGGATCAATTAAGAGCACATAACCCTAATTCTAGCACAAGCAATGGTTGCCAAGCAATGACAACCCCCAACCTATTGTCACCCCACACGGTGACGCGCTAATGCTGAAAAATTAACGGGTTAAGCCAATTTACCAGAGCGGACGTGTCTGAGTCCGTATTATCGAGAGAGATGCGAATCTACTGCTTTAGGACCGCAATCTTGGCCTAAAGTAATTCAGTAGATATATGCAGATTCAACCGTCGATCCACCGAGGGCAAAATTGTCCAACTTTTTCTATATAACCTGAAACAGAAAATAAACAGTGTCAGTGCGTTCAGGGGAATAAAATAAGCAAACTGCCCGAAGGAAGCTCGCCCGGAACCGTCGCCACGCGCCGCCGCCGCCGCCACGAACCACAGCCGAGGGAGCGCCTCAGCCTGCTGAACCTAGATATGGGTTCGGTTTCGCCGGAAAGTGGCTGGATTGGCCGAAAATCAAGGTTGCAGCCGCGGTCCTCAACACCAAAACGCGATTTGCCACCGATTTTTTGACAAATTTCAGGCCGGGAAAGCTTCAACTAGCTCTGATACCACCTGTAGGACCGAATTCCACAGCCAAGCAATGCAAAACCGGGCTCAGTTTACTCAAAACATCGACACCATTTCTTGAGACAACTCCAATATCACCTTGTGCCACCAAGGTCCGGTTGCTATGGATATAGGAAGGAGAAGGCCAAGAAAATACCCACAATATGTCAACCACAAAGGTCACAGAGAGGGAGGGAAGAAACGACCGAGAGGGAGAGACTCACAAAGAGGGGTTTTCACTCTAAAATGGAGGCCGAGAGATTGAGAGGAATATATGCCAAGGGTATTGTCCAAACAAGGTAAGTTACAATTAGGGCTAAGTGGTGGATCAAGGCTCGACTCAAATAATTGGGCTTCAACACAGGGAATAACAAATTTCGAAGGTTCTAGATTTCAATTGCATGTGAAATTTACCTTCGATGCAGTTCAAATCACGATCGCGCTCCACCGAAAAGTTGATTATGGTACCAGGGCGATGAAGGTGTCCTGATTTGGAGCTTCGATTCGAGACGATCTGGGGAAATTAGGGCTTCCAGTTGGATGGGTATTGTTTGATTTCACGAACTGGAGAATTGAGTTAAATGATTATCTCGAGTTAGGTGTGTTTGATTTTGTGGGAGAAAGAAAGGCGTGCTTCCAATGCTGACGTGGATGCTTAAGTGGAAATTCATTTAACACTTCTAAGGATTTAACCGACCAGCTAGATTTCCATCTGCCACGTACACACGTCAACTAACAGATCTGATCGGGTGAGTAATGGGCAGTAACGGGGTGAAGTTCAGTGGCCAATGGGACAAGTTCAAAAGTTCGTTGAGTAAATCGTGACATACCCAAAAGTTCAGTGGCTAATGAAACATTTAACTCTACAAATAGAATTATCCAAGTTATAATTTCTTTCAAAAATCTTTATTAAAAAATATAAAATAGTAAAATAAATAACTTACACAAAAAATCAATTATTTCATTTTTGATACAAAAATTTGATACATTGACAAAGATAGAATTGAATTTTCCAATTGTCAAACTTGAGCCTTCACTATATTTTAATGAAAGTTAACGAAACGTGTTATTGAAAAGCTGATAAAAATGAGGTTTAAATCATGGGACATGACAAGGATGAAAATCATCCGAAAATACTCCAATACTTTAAATGAGTAAAAATTTTGAAAATAAGCACCCTAGAAGTTTTTATGTTCCGTGAATATTAGATATTGTAAGTATGGATACGAGAGTGTCGTCTGATGATTAAGTTCTATACAAATTGTAGATGTTGCATCGTGTATAATTAATCAACCTCTCTTTCGGATCTACCAACGTGATCTCAACAACCTTTGGGGTGTCAAAGTTGAACAGAAAACGTAAATTCGGTGATTTAAAAATTTAAATTGGAATTAGAGGGACTAAAATGGAACTTGTTGACGACACAGGTGACTTACGTGTATTTATTTCCCCATCAGTCAGGGTTGGGCCCGGGTTTCTGTCGGTGGTATCGTGATCCCTCCCTGCTTTTCACATTCTGATCTCATTGCTCTTCATCTTCTACAAATTCCACTATTCTCAACACTCATTGCACATTTACATACAGCTACGTATATGTATATGCATCTCTGCTGAAAAACAAACGCAAGACACTAACAGAAATACAGAGTTTTGTCAAAATATGGCAGTGAAAATTAGGGTTTTGAAAGCTGTTGTGGGGTTGATAGCATTGTGCCTGGCAGGGTACATAGTAGGCCCACCTCTGTATTGGCACTTATTGGAAGGCTTAGCTGCCGTCAGCCGCTCTTCTTCCGCCTCCACTTGCCCTGCTTGCATTTGTGACTGTGATTCTCAGCCTCATCTCACCATTCCGCAAGGTATGAATACGCATACTGCATATATACATTCATATATGCACTTGGATCTGCTTTGATCTCTGATGGTAAAGTGGTACTTCACATATTTGACCATCTGGGAATATGTAATTTCGCGCTAGAAGTTTATCTGCGCACAATATAGCACATTTTGATCGATACCCACATCAATTTTTTCCCGTCATTGCTCAATTGAAATTGATGAACAAAGGTGCAAAATTACTAAAGGTTGCTTCTTACTCGTGGATATGTTGAGCAACTATTAGAAATCCATGATCAACTTTGTTTTTCTATTCTCATAAGTAAATTTATCTTGCATTCTTGTTATACTTCTCGATTCTTAGCTGTAAAATATGCCAAAATTCGATGAACTCGTGAATAACTCCATAATTCTTGGTATTAAGTGTTTCATATAAAATTATTTTAATCTGTTCCGTGGCAATAGGACAATGTGAGAGAAAATAAACTACAAGGAAAGCTAAGAAATTGATGTTACTTTGTTTTTCTGGTTATTGATGTTAATTGTGATTTTCTTAAAAAACAGAATTTAATTCCTTTCCAGTAAGAAGGCTTAATATTTATGCATTTCTATTCACATATTTATCCTCGTATTGATTGGTGGTTTTAGGTTAAGGGACGCGGGATCTAAGGGAAAGAAACATGATGTCTAGATTGTTTCTAGATTTTTAATCGGAGTAATATTCGAAGTTCACTATGGAGCCTTCCACTTGTTGTTTGTTTGTTGAGACCAAGGGCGGATCTACACTAGCGGCAGTGGAATCTCCCCCACACTAAATTTGAAATCTAAGATTTTACAATAGATTGTTCAAGATTTCACACAAGATTTTCAAAAAATATCCTTATAATTTTCAATTTTGCTCCCACAATATTTTGTGAACCTTGCCTTTACAGCTCTACTCTCCTGGCTCCGGTCAAGACTGAAAATTTTCAATATGTCTCTTTGTGTTCTTTTTTCCCTCTTCTAATTATGGCATTGCCAATGCTATACTAATTGAGAAATTCCTTTATTTTGGCCATGCTGCACTTACAATTTTTTTGTAATTTTTTATACCACCTAGCTGGACTTTACATGAAACCATCTAACAAATGTGTTGCTTCATAATTTTGAGATATATCTTTCTATAATGGATAGTTAACTGGTCAAATGAAAAGAGTTGTTTATCCTATATGATCATTTACGTACTTGCCAAGTATAGAATTGTGGGATGTGATGTTTATTTTAATAATATGTACATCATATTTCCACATCGTGACATTTAATAATGAGTTATAAAGCTGCAAATATTTTACCCTTCCTTAAATGCTCATTCAGAGGTCAAGAAGTCAAGAAAAACATGTAACTGGTACCATAGAAAGTCCTCTGGGTACTCATTTTTGTTTATTTCAATGCAGCCACCCATTTTTCAATGCTCAAACGCTCTTTATTGCTAGTGGACTTAGGGGATGGTTATTTGATGAAGTATCATATTAGGCTGTTTATCTGCTTACTTCAGTATTGTAACTTTCTTCAATGACTAGTGTCTTAGCTCTATAGAACATCAACTAGTTATAGGTTCTCAAGAGAAATCTGGAATAAAAAACAACACAAATATTCCTTTGTTTGGAATTAAATTGTCTCACAACCTTTCTAACATGTCTAGAAATAATGCCTTGTTTCCTAGAATAGACATTTTCTTCCAACAGTATTCTTAAAGTATGTGATGTTACTGATTAATATTGTTGGACACTGGTTTCGGGATGAAAAATTGAACTTGCATCAAATACTGACCTTTTAAACTCCTACCAACACTCCATGTGAGTTTATCCTATGACATTCAGTTCAAGATTGAGGGAGTATTAACTAGCGAGTTGTGCAAGGATAAACTTATGTTAGTAGGTCACATCATATTTGTGCTAGGTAACCTGACTCATTTATTGTTGGTTTGTCTCATTCTTTGATTTATTTATTGGGTGGTCATGTTCTGATCTTTAACCTGTAGTGTCTCTGACATGAAAAGAACCCCTTATGACAAATAGTTCATTATCTAAACATGCACCGACTGTTTTCTCCATAGCATGTGTAATTCTTGCCGGTAGACTGCCTCTTCTTTTTCTTATAGTAGTATGTGCTTTGTAATTTATTTTTCTCGTTTCTGATATTCATGTATCTAATAGGACCTAGGTAAGGTTTTCCTCGATGTACACATGGACATCCTTCTCCATGTTTCATCAGGTGTTCTTGTCAAAATCTTGATTTTGCTGATTACATTTTTTTCCCTCTTGCAGGACTGAGTAATGCATCCTTTGCAGGTCAGAACCATGTTTTTATTTATTTAGTCTGAAGATACAGGACTACCTTGACTTTTCAAATTATGTCCGTGCATTGATTCCTGAGAGTAAGCCTTTTCTTCTGTTTGTCTTCCTTTTCTGCAGATTGTGCAAAGCGTGATCCTGATGTGACCGAAGATACTCAAAAAAACTTTGCAGAGCTATTGTCAGAGGAATTAAAACTGCGAGAAGACGAAGCTTTGGAAAATCAGCAGCGTGGTGATATGGCACTGCTTGAGGCTAAAAAAATGACATCCCAATACCAAAAAGAGGCAGACAAGTGCAATTCTGGGATGGAGACATGTGAAGAGGCTAGAGAAAAGGCTGAAGCAACTCTACTGGCACAAAAAGGGCTGACTTCTATGTGGGAGCTGAGAGCACGCCAAAGAGGATGGAAGGAGGGAACCACCCGTTCTCATTCCCAGTAAGTAGTAACACTGATATGCAGGTTATGCAAAGCGCCGTTGGTTTCATATATAATTATCCCAAGTAGATGGAAGTTCTGTCCACCACATCTAATCTCAAAGAGGGCATGAGGTATGTGAGTATTATCCAAGTCTAAAGCAGATAATCCATTTGAGCGTGTATTCGGAATTTTGGACTTTTTCCCTATTCAATTTATTTGTTGAAAACTTGTAACAAGATTCCATTTGGAGAAGTGTTACGTGATAGCATTACTAAAGGTACGTGAAAAAATTGTTGGAGTAATTTCAGTTTGGAACATATTCATCTATATGTTGGAATAGTTGAAAGTATTGATTATATTCGTCCTTCAATGTGCCCAAAACTGGGAGAGATGTTCGGTTTATATCACAGTGGTTCACTTTACACTTCTTTTTACAGTTTATAAAGTTAAAATCTTGTTTTTTATTTACGATTACAATTGTTTTCTTTTCCTTGTGATAAAAATATACACACAGCTGTTAATGTCGAGGATAGGATGCATATGGACATTCCATCTAGCTTGGCACCTCCAGAATATTAGTAAGAAATATGCTATTTGTACATAATGCGACGTCCATAACGTTGTCTACCCTCTTACATAAAGGGATTCATTTAGAAAAAATTATATTTTATTGGAAGTGGGTCTCCCTCTATATGAAAGGGTTGGACACTGTTATGAACCCCTGATGTATGGGTAGGATTACACTGTTAGCAATATAAAATAAATGCGGATGGTCTAATGATAAAATTAAATGTTGTTGACTTAATTTTGACTTGTGTTACGAAGTGATTGGCCACACTTGTCTTTTCAAATGCTATAAACTTGGACAAATACTAAAAGGATCATTAGAAATTTTTGAATTCTAAAACAATTCTCTCCACGACGGTGAAAAAACATGTGAGCAAACTTTCTCTGAGCCTATAGAAATGGATCTCTCCTACCCAACATGCAAAAGCCACACTCTTAGCCAACCGCCGAACACCTCATCACCACCGATCGCTACAGTCGTCGATGATTGCAACATCATGTCGATCGGCCAATCCTCATTCACCGGCCTTACGCTACTTAATAAGCCACATAATCAGGCGACGACCCTAGGTGGAAACCGTAGCACCGCCACCCTAGTTGGAGACACCGATGTCAAGATCGAAGTACAGGTCGGAAAATAGGGTTGCCCAATCCAGATTCAGCAAAATTCGGCCATAGTCACCCCACGCGTTGGCGCCGAAAAACCAGAATGACGGGCAAAATGTCCCCAGTCCAATAACGATGCCTATTTTGCCGTCTAATATGTCGTTCACATACAATCAGGGAAGGAAGTTAGTGGATGAATTCAATTGAGGCGAAGGAGTTTGCAATTTCTGTTACCAATCTTGGTGCTGTTAGAATGACCGAAAGGGGCTCGAAGATTTCGAATGCAATTAGCATGGGAATGTTCAGTGCACTTTGGATGGTGAATATGGCGAACTAGTTGAGGGTGACTAGTAAGCATGAGGATTTCGTTTCTAGGTTCAATGAGTCATCAAGAGCCTTCTTGGCATAGCGTTGTGCGAACCGCCGTGGTAGGTACTTGATGATAGCGCAGTATGGGGATAGACATCGGAAGGGAGTTGTGATGGTGCCGGAAGGTGCCAATGGAGAAGGATGGGCATCAATCTCGCGAGTGTTTCAAACTGTTGTTGATTCTTTTGTTGTTGGGGATAAAGCCAAACGTCGATCGGTAAATGAACGTAATCGACAAAGATTGACTTATGCAGACGTAACAGCAAACTTACATGCCTCGAAGCATGCTGACCAGCGAAGGCAACAGCAAAAGGAGATGACTGTCAATGTCAGTGTAAACGAAGGTCAGGATTGTTGTTTGAATAAGGTTGAAATTATGGCCCGTGTCCAGGAATTGAAAGGAGCGTTGGAGGAATTGATTAGGCTAGTGGGAAGTGAGTATGAAATGGGTCCCAAGAAGTTGTTATGTTACCACAGGTGTGGGGTGGGTATGGATGCGTATCCAGCTGTTGGAAAACAAGCATTGGGCTTGAATAAGAAGGAATCGGCACATAATCAAGTTAAGCAGGGAAGACTCGAAATCACTTGTGAGTCGATTGATCGGACTGAAACGGATGAGGGACACTCTAAATATGACAAAGGTGATGTCTTAGAGGGGATGGATATGGATGAGGTAGACACGGGGACCAATGTAGACCTAGAGGTGGTACCTTTGTCTAAAGAAGGGGAGCCGAATATGGTGAACTTGGAGACAGTAACGATGGGTGCAATGGACACGGTCCCACACGATGACGGGCTTTTACTAGGTGACCAAGGGACGAGGCATGTACTGTCGGAGGATCTAGTTACCTCAGGGGTGATAGAGCACGACGCGACACCTTTGACAACAAGGGTTGCGAATACATATAATAGAAGGAACTCTAAGTCAATGAAGGTAAGTGACTTGGGGACGGAAAAAGCACTGGTGTTGTGGGTAGATGGAGCCAAGACGGGAGAAATAGAAAGTGATGTTATACAGATGGAGAAAACAGGGGATTTGATTGGATTCGAAGCTGGACACCCACCTTCGAACTAGGTTCTACAGAAAATTCAGGATTTCAGTAAGTTAATGGGCGTGTCTTGTGATGGTTACGAAAACAGATTACTACAATTATTTGAGGATTTGGAGGCCAATAGGGGACAGGAGATGAGTAAACAAGAAGGCAAACTAAGAAGAAAGGGTGATCGTGAACTTAAGAGGCTCGAATGGTCAATTAATTATGATGGCAAGGGTGGAGAGTACAAGAATAGAGTACTAGGGAGGGATGTCGGACTGTTAAAATGATACCACGAATCATTAGCTAGAATGTAAGGGGACTTAATGAAGTTGGGAAAATGATGGGTGGTCGACATCTGCTAAGGGGCTGGGGAGCGGATCTTGTTTGCTTACAAGAAACCAAGATAGAGGTCATCTCGAGGGCAGTGGTCAGTAGCTTATGGGGAGGACAGCATATGGGGTGTCAGTTTATGGGATCATCAAGGGTTTCTGGAGGCATATTAGTCATGTGGGACACCAGAGTAGCTTATGGGTGGACAGCATGTAGGGTATCAGTTTATGGGATCATCAGGGGTTTCTGGAGGCATATTAGTCATGTGGGACACCAAAGTGCTTGAGATGGAGGAGGTGAGTGTAGGATTGTTATTAATATCGATGTCGTTCAGAAACATTGGGGATGGATTTCAGTGGATGTTCATAGGTGTTTATGGGCCTAATACTAATGAAAGTAGACGGGGCTTGTGGGATGAACTGGCCGGAATGATGGCTTGGTGGAATCTACCAACGTGTATAAGAGGTGACTTTAATGTGGTTCGATTTCCTATTGAGAGGTCAAGCGGTGGGAGACTCACGGGGGCTATGGAGGAGTTTTCGGACTTTATAAGGGAGAATATGTTGGTGGATTTGCCTATGATTGGAGGAGATTTTACCTGGTCTTCTAATCAGGACCAACCGGTTCTTTCTCGTATAGACAGGTTCTTGATATGCGGAGAGTGGGAGACTAAATATTCAGATGTTATTCAGAGAAGATTGGGGAGGGTGTACTCTGATCATTTCCCCATTATGTTAACTGGGAACAGGACGGGTGGAGGACGAAGGCCTTTTAGGTTCGAGAAAATGTGGTTGAAAGTTGAAGGTTTTAGGGAGCAAGTATAGACTTGGTGGACATCTTACGATATCATAGGGTCTCCTAGTTTTGTGTTGGATCAGAAGTTGAAGTCTTTCAAAAGGGATTTAAAGAAATGGAATGAGGAGGTTGTAGGCAATGTGAACTGTCATAAAATTCAGTGCCTTTCAGAGATAGATGAGTTGGATAGGTGGGAGGAGAGTCGAAGGTTGGTTGGGGAGGAGAAGGAGAAACGTAGAGCATTAAGGGAAGAATTGGAGATGTTGGTGGAGATGGACGAGATTGCTTGGCGTCAGAAATCTAGGGTCAATTGGTTGAAAGAATGAGATAAATGTACTAAGTTTTTCCACAGGATCGCTAATTCTAATAGGCGCAAAAATTCTATTATGGTGTTGGAAGTGGATGGGATAACTTATGAAGAACCACTCGAAATTGGAAGCCAACTGGTGAATTTCTATCAGAATCTATATCAGGAGCAGTTTGAGGGGAGACCAGAGTTGGAAGGATTGGATTTTTCTACTATCACGGGAGATGGTGCCGATTGGTTAGAGCGACCTTTTGAGGAGGATGAAATCAAGGAGGTAGTGTTTAGCATGAACGAGGATAAGGCCCCTGGACCAGACGGTTTCTCGTTCTCATTTTACAAGGCTTGTTGGGAGGTGGTTCGATCGGAAATCTTAAATGTGTTTACATATTTTTTTAAACGTGGCAGGTTCCAAAAAAGTTCTAATGCTACATTTGTTGTGCTGATCCCTAAGAAACCGGGAGCGACCGACATTAAGGACTTTCACCCTATTAGCCTAGTCTGTGGGGTGTATAAAATTATTGCGAAAGTCCTGACGAACAGATTAAAGGAGGTGCTCGGGAATGTAGTGTCCAAATTTCAGAATGCTTTCGTAAAAGCTCGTCAGATTTTGGACTCTGTGCTTATAGCGAATGAATGCATTGATTCAAGATTGTGTTTGGGAATTCTCGGGACGCTATGTAAGCTCGATATTCAGAAGTCATATGGTCATGTGAACTGGGGGGTTCCTTTTGTATATGCTTAGGAGGTGCGGCTTCATGGATAAGTGGTGTAAATGGATTCAGTTCCACATTTATCTCCAAGTTTCCTTACAATAGCTTAATCTACCAAACATCCTATATTTGGTTCCAGGTATAATAATGTCTAAAGGTTGTTTGGGTTTAGCATCTAAGTTCTCTAATCCAACCTATAAACATGAATCAACCTACTCATGCACAACGCTACAATCAACTCACATGCAAAAATAATTTTCGTTTCGCATGAATAAGCAAAAATCTAACTCAAACAAATAACTCGTCCACAATTCATAAATCAACGCATGTTCTCAATTACACATATCAATTTCGGCAAGGTTATCTAGCACACACAAGCATGCAGAAACACGAAAAGAAATTTTTTTTTAATCAATGCATACAATTAAGAAATTAAAAACAAAACACACAAATAAAATAAAATAAATTTTTTTTTTAAATGCACACAATTCACACAATAAAAAAAATTAGGCAATTCTAGACAATTTATAATATACTCCCCCCAAATTTAAACTAAACATTGTCTCTAATGTTAAATTAAAAGAAAATGAGGAGGACTTCCCTGAATTATCTGAATTGTCAATGACGATTTATGCTCTGACGTTGAATTTGATGGACGCTTCTTCTAACTTTTACCCCCAAACTTGAGATTTTTCATGTTCTCCTCGTCAAAGTTGGTATGATTATTCTGCAACGTAATGTTCCTGAAAAATCAAATTTAGATATTAAATACATGGAACAAGTGTTATTTAGCTCAAACATCAAACAACCAACTTGACTACTTATAAACCTAAGGGAAGATGGGATATGGCTAATGAATTCCTAAATAGAAATTATAAAATAACTGAAACTATCATATTAATCAAAAACAGAAAACGAAATAAAAATAAAAATAAAATAAAACGCTTGGATTGCCTCTCAAGAAGCGCTTCTTTACTGTCATTAACTTGACTTTGGCAATTGCATCATGGAACTTTAAAGAAGGCTTTTGATGCCCTGTCCATTTTTCTTCTTTTGACTTTGCTCCACTCTTCGTTGTTTCTCCAGATCTCATCGTTGTCCTTTTCAATGTAATAGGATCTTTTTAGGCCATCCGATTCAAATTTAACAATGTAGACTTCAACTTCTTCACCGGACTTAATCACAAAATCAATTTCTCTAACATCAATGAATTCGAAGGAATTTATGTTGCTTTTATCTTTATTGATTTCTGCATCTTCGTTTGGTTCCTTTGTGATCAAGTTGTCATTCACTTCAGGCTCTTCTAAGATCGTTGAAATTTCTTCAGATTGACCGATTGATCCACATTCAAGATCCACAAGCAACGAGGAATCTTTCTTTTTAACCCCTTCGAGTGGATTGTATTTCCACCTTTTCAATTAAATCCAGTAACTCCAATCTCCAATCGATATTTTGCTCTCTTCCAAATTGGCCAGTTTATTGTAGTACTTTGCAATCACCCTCTCATTGAACATAGAAGGACCTTTTCCCGTAAGTATGATGTCCTCATTCCAATCGTCAGGTGCATAATCTTCCAAAGGCATATAGTCTTCATCAGAGTTGTCAATCGCTTCTTGTCGACATTTTAAATAATGTATAAACCTTACAACCTTTACTGTATGGGGGTTCATGGGTGTTTGCCAACAGTACTCGGTGTAATGCATCTCCCAGCAAATCTGACAGAAGACATTTTCTACAACCACATCATTTGTATCCATATTGAGATTACTTATTTCAGTTGCTATGCTCTCTTGCCAATGTTGGAAACATGCATATATTATTGGGGAGTTCCTGGAAAGAATAACGAAAATGATCAGGGTGGATAGCCAAAATTAACAAAAAACCAAAAAAATAAATTTAAAAAAATCTAAATTAAAATAGAAATTACTTGGTAATAATATTAGTAAAAATCAAATTAACAATCCCCGGCAACGGCGCCAAAAACTTGCCACGCGATTTATGCAACGTGATTTTTAAACCGCAAGTATACGGTGTCAAGTTTTGTAATATAGTTTTGAAGAAGGATGTCGAACCCACAGGGATTGTAATTTAATTTTCACTAAGCACTATAATTATGTAAATTTCTACTTTATTTAGACAATTTGATGATTTTATGAATGAATGTTATATGAGTGAATGATATAAACTAAATCTAACGTGATTGGATGCGATAAAATTGGGGAATACAAATTATCAAATGAGAAGGCCTAGGGATTGATTTCACCTAACTTTCAATTATGATTTAACGAATTCAAATTATTCCAATTAATTTTCCCATATTTAAAAGCAAGAATCCTAATGTATTTCTAACCCCCTCTCTCGAGCACCGATTAGAAATTAACCCTAGATCCCAATTCTAACATCTCTGTTCAAAATTGAAAATCAAGAATTTAATAAAGATCTGATTCTTTTATGGAGTAAGCTTCACAGATTTATACTTTCTCTCGAAACCTATAAATTCTATGTTGTATCACTCTTATGATCACGCATAAATTCCCACTCTCAAGCGCCGAAATTGACTAGCATCAAATCATCCAATTGTTGATCAGGCAATTAAAAGCATTAACATCATGATACAATTAAATATATGCGGGAAAATCAAGGAAATAATTATAAAATCATCAAACCATAATCTTGATTCGGCTACATCAAACCCCTAGATAAAGTGTTTAATTCATGGTGTAATAAATGAAAATCATACAAATTATAATAAACAACATAAGGAAAAGGATAGAAAAACTAGTCTTTTGGGTAGATCTTCAATCTTATTCCTTGATGTTGTTCCTCCTTCATTTTGATGTCTTCAATTTTTGCCTCCTTCAAATTGTGTGGTTGAATTCTTCAATCTTGCCTCCTCCATCCTCTTTGAAAATAGGGTTTTTAAATGGTATTTATAGTATGTTGGGATTATTGGATGAATTAGGGTTGAGTTGGGCCAAGAAAATATTCCAAAAATATAAAATCTCGTTTTTTCGCACAAGCGGCGCCATGGCGCCCAAGATGGGCGCCACGGTGCCACATTCACTGTTGTTTTCAGCATCTTGGGCGCCACGGCGCCCACTTCGGCTGGAAAATTCAGTTTTCACCTCCAGTATTTTTGCCATAACTTCTTCATTCGATATCCAATTGAGATGATTCAAGATGCGTTAAAAAGGTAACTCAAAGGGCTATAACTTTTCTTCAAACATAATTTCCCAATCCGATCGTTTTCTATGTTAGAAATAGGTCTCAATGTGAGACCAAAACTCCGGCGCGTAACTTTTAGGTTGGAAAATGATTTGATATCATATTTTGACTAAATTTGATCCCTTTGACACCTTCCTTCATCCAATTGACTCCAAGCGCTCTCGGATCTTCATCGTGAGTTTCAACACGACTTCTGATTAATTACATTTTAATCCTCGAACTTTGAATCCCTTACATTTTGGTCATTTCATCCAATTTCGCTAACTTTTGTCTATTTCCTTCCTTTGGCCTCTTTTAGCTCTTGTTTTCTCCACTTCCATCAATCTACAAAACAACACCAAAATCACTTGTTAGCATTTCTAAAATACTCTCCAAGATAGCAAAATCATGAAATTAATGGCATAATATAATGAGCGTAAATCACTCATCAATACCGCATTGCGTTAGAGCCTACTGCTATGGTGGGTGATGTATTAAACATTTATAATGGGGACTGTAGTTGGAATATTACTTTTGGGAGGGGTTTACAGGATTGGAAATTGGAAGATTATTCGTTGTTTTTGACTGCCCTGCATGAAACACAAATTCGGGTAGGAGATGGTGATTGCAGCAGGTGGAGGTTGTCTCGAGATGGTATTTTTTCAGTCCGCTATACTTTCAATCCCTTTTGGGATTTGTGGAGAGTTCATTACCTTGGAAGATGGTTTGGCAAAGCAAATTGCCTCCATGGGTAGCATTTCTATTGTGGACAGTTATGAGGGAGCAGGTGTCAACGGTGGATAATCTTCGACGAAAAGGATTTTATGTAACCGGGTGGTGCTATATGTGCAAGAAGGATGGAGAGACGATTGATCATTTATTCATTCATTGTGATGGTGTACGTTGGTTTTGGAACGGTATTCTGGCTTCTCAATCAATGGATTGGGTATTACCTAGGCGTATAAAAGACGTGGTACGGGCGTGGAGGAGAAAACTTCGCAATAAGAATAGCAAACTTCTTTGAAATCTTATTCCGGGATGCATTGTATGGTGCATATGAAGAGAACGGAACGATTGATGTTTCGAAGACCAAACAAAGACAATA